GTCCCCTTAACTCCCAACTCTATGACTATGGCGCACGAGCCATGTGTGATCTATAGAGCTAAACTTCGCTCTAGGACTAGGATTAAATAAAAGAAGTAGCCAACTTACTTTAAGAAGAAAAAAAGAAGCTAGGCTCACTTATATCTAGTTATCTTTTCAGGCTTCTAAAAAGAAAGGATGTTACCCTAACTGACAATAGCACTAATATATATATATATATATATATATATATTTTAATATCAAATTTTTTTTATATTCGATATTTATTTTAAAATTTCATTAATTTATAATTAAATTAAATCAAATTTTATAAAAAAAAAAAAAAAAGCTTTTTTAAGTGTTTTTTTTTTATTTACAAAACTCAAAATTAAAACTTTATTTTAAAAAAAATCAAAAGCTTTCTCAAATCTTTCTTTTTTTTTTCAAAACTTAAAATTAAAACTTTACTTAAAAAATTTTAAAATTCTCTCAAATTTATTTTTTTCATTTACAACATTCAAAATTAAAATTTTACTTTAAAAAATTAAACTTTTTATTATTCGAACCTCTAAGCGTTAATAACATACATCAATCTTATGACATGATGGATAGATCCATGCGCCGTTTATCATGGGAAGCTCTCATTGAATGAGCTTTTGCTTTTGCTTCTCTAAACTATGATAACATCTTACTCAATGAATGAGCTGAAAATTTGACTGCATTGAAACTTAAGCCCCTGATAACTAAATGGCCAACTAAATTATCAACTGTAATCAACGGCTCCCTTTTCTGCATGACCTAAAACTACCTATTCATTTCCAATCAATTGAACACTCCTTTATTTGGGTTTCTTTGCATGCAGGTCATAATAACGCTAGAGCAGTAGGAGAAAAAAAAAAAAAAACCCACCAACTTTCCTTGGTACTCTAATTTAGAGTAGACTTGGTTAGAAGATTTGTCCATGGTTTGGAGAAGAGGAACCATACACAAACACTTTGACTTTTTGGTTAAAATAAAATTAAATGGATTTTTTTCGCACTTTTGCTTTTATGTTTTTGTTAATTTGCCTCACTTTTGCTGCAAATGCATATTTTTTTATTTTTTATAAAAATTATTGTAGCGTGAAAATAAGAAATGATAGTAGATAAATAAATTTTTTTATTTTTTTATAACTTTTTTTTTTTAACTAAAGTGCATATCATATGTATGTTCAAATGATGCATCATTCAAAATAAATAGTAATACAAAGTTTACAATTAACAAATCAACATTGTTTTTTTGTTTATTAATAATGTCCTTTATAAATTTAACCAATTCTGATTATCCGATCCACAAATGTCTGAATCATATATTTTGTCAACATTGTTTTTTTTTAAGATTTTCTATTGATGATATATTGGTTTATACTTTCAATTAGATTGTAACCCGTACAATATATAAAATAATTTTACTTATTTTATATATATTTATATATATACACATATAAATTAGTATTCTTTTTAAAATTATATTTAATTTTTCAAAATTTATAACATATAATAAAATTTATATCTAACTAACTTGTCATAAAAAATAAAATAAAAAAAAGAAGAAAATGACATGTTTTTACTTTGCACCATCTTTATTTGCAATAATATTTATACATTTAAAATTTTTATCAAATAAAAATAAATTTCAAAACTTTTTTAAAAGAATAAAAACATATATATTATCGAATGATAAATTAAATAATAAAAAAATATAAACATGCTTTTACTTTTATAATCTTATTCAAATTACTGTACAAAATATAAAAATAATGTTAGAAAATTAGTGAAAAAAAAATTAATTTTCATAAGAACAAACTTGTAACACTAATAGAATACACTTTGGAAAAAGAAAGATATAAAGTGAAAAAATAAATTGTAATAACAATAGAACTTCAAAAAGCTACTAATCAAAAAATAAAAAATAATATAACACATTACATTTATAGTTTTTAATTTGTTGAATAATTCTTGGATGACATTTAAAATTGAAAAAATAATTTTCAAATTGATATTTAAAAAAATTAAAAGGATATAATAAGTGATAAAAGTTAAATCAAATTTCTTACCTATTTCTTAAATATAAAATTTATAGTTAAAGATGAGATGGATGTAAGTCATAGTATTTAGAGATTTAATATAAAAAATTATTTGAATTTTCAACATTTTATGTCATTTTTTAAAAAGATAATTTTTGTTTGATAAAAATAAAGATAAAAGAATATAGTAAGTTTTAAAAAGATTTTAATTTTTATAGTTTTAAAATATGTTGAAAGATTTTCATTATTAAATAATTTATAAAATAAGGTTATATAGAAAAAAATTAAAATTATTTGGATAAAATTTATATTTCAAAATTTTAATTTTAAAAAAAATATACTTTACATGTCCCAATTTTTTGTCCATCTTTTCTTTTTAGGATGTCTCAAAATTATGTTTTTTCTTTTAACATCTAAAACTCTTTTTTTATATATTTTAAAATTATTTTTATGACTTTTTTTTTTACTTTTTCACATTGAAAGTCATAGAACTTTAATTTTATAAAAACAATTTAATTTTAATATTAAATAAATTAAAGTCAAAGCTTGTTTCTTAAATTATATGAAAATTAATACCACCCAAACAATTTGGAATAAAAGGAGTATCTCTAGATTAATTTGATTTACAATTATAATTTAAAATAATTTTGATATTTGAATAAATTTAAGATTATTTAATTTGTAATTAAAAGAAGATATACTTTTTTTTAAAAAATATCTTACATATTATCTAAAGAAATTATGCACATAAATATTAATGTGATAAATCTTATCAAGTGTTTATATATATATATATGATATAATAATATATATCATTCAGAATACAAGGCCTACAACCCGTCTTTGGTTTGCCCCAGGCATTCCGCGGCTGCGGTTCCATGGACATTGTTAAACAATAATTTCAGATGGTTCAATGTCATTGGGTTAGAGCCAGGAGAGTGTAGGGGCAAGCAAGAGTTGCTTTCACATTTGGTCCATTTTTTCACTTCCTAATGGGCTTAAACCAATTGTAACAGTTGCCAGTACTTTAACCACCGGGGGCCGAAGAAGGCTCTCACCCTGACCACAAGGCTCAAACAATTGCCCTCTTTTGGTAATCAGCAGATATAGATTTGCAAACATTGGGCTATGTTGCTCATTTAAGGCCTTTCGCTACCTCTTGCTAATTTGCTACTTATCAGTGGGCTGGGTTTTCTTAAGAACGATAAAATTGGCTCCATCTAATTATGAAGTGAGAAAAACAAAACCAATGGTGAAAGCAAGAAGGAAAGCCATTGGGACTTTGGGCCACCATGTCAAACAATGACAAAGAAACACATTTTATGTATTATGAGTTCAAAGTTTCTTCATCAATTAGCCAGTTTAAAATGATAGTCTTAACAGAAAGTAGTGAGGAAGAAAATGGTAAACTGATAGAAACTGGGAGCGTTTTTTTTTTTTCTTATTTTTGCATCAAATTACAAATGAAATGACGTATAAGTTTGGCAGAAATAAGAATCATATAGAGACATATTTATCAACAAACACACGATTTGTTGATAAAATAATAGAAAATCTCAAATTAAAAGAACATGCATGGTTGGTTCATTGCTATTCCTTTTAAAATAACTAGTATATTAGCTCCTGTTTCACTCGATTTTTAGCATTAAAGAAAAATCACATCAATTCCATTGAAATAATATAAAAAATACATTTTATTATTGAATCTTTAAAAATTCAACTCTGAAACAATATCATAAAATTAGATTTTCATACAAAACCAAAGACAATCACCTATAGTGACCTCTGGGCGAAGTTTTCAAGTTTGTTCAAAACCCAAAGCTAGTAAAACATCATATGAAGGAGGTTTCAGTAGGGAAAATCTATTACTATACTTTACTCTCAAAAAAATCAATGGTTGAGAACTTCCTTCTCCAAAACACGACGACTAAGATCGCTTTCATATCATCATCGAAAGGGAATAGAACCGAGAGAAATAACCAGAGTAGTAGGTAAGAACTATATTGCATAATTACCTTTCATCTCTATTTAGCTTTTTATAGATTATTCTTAAAAAAAAAAAAAACTCTAAAAAAATTTAGAATCCAAGAATCTAAAGCCTAAAGCTCTTTCCTTTTTCTTCATTTCTCATTTTTCTCATTCTGTTTGCCCAACTTCCTTTTAAACCCAAAACCGCAAAATTTATCCTGATTTTGTTATCTTCTACTTTTTGTTATTTTTTTGTTATCATGATATATTATGTTTATTTCTTTTTTTTTTTATTTTCATTTTTCTTTTGACATATTGAAGGATTTTATGATAATTAGGTATTAGTTACGGTGTTTGGTAAAGATTAATAGTGGCAGTTAAGAGGTTTAGTTCAGTGATAATTTATGCAGTTAACGCTGGTTATAAAGGCTGTAAATGATGGTTATGCCTGTGGTTGTTTTTTTATCCTTCTTTCTTTACTTTTTCTTTTACCTTCCTCTATTTTCTAATCTTTTACTAAAAATTTTACTTTTTATAAAAATGTTTACCTCTACCCATAAATCTGATTATGGGTTTTGATGCATGCAAAGTTTGGATCTTTAAAAAATGTGAGTAATTGAAAATTAGTTTGAATCTGAAACTTTTTATTTTTTTTTTGTTAGGTATCTTTAGATTTCCATTTCAGTTGCTCTGGAATTTTAAAATTTTTCATTTCTGTTTTTTTTTTTTTATTTACTGTGGATTGAAATATTTGGCTTCCATATTTTGATTTAAGGAAATGTGATGGTTGCAACTTGAAATTTAGCTCATTAAATGTGAGTTTCTTGCTAATTCTTTGAATTTTAAATGCTGATTTTTTATTTGATCTTTCATTTGGCTTTATATGTATTTAGATAATTAAGTTTTTTCTTGGTTTTTTTGTTTTTGGAAAGTTTTTTTTTTTTTTTTAATAATAGAATTTTTTTTAATGGTCTTTTGCTAATAGGATTGAAACGAAAATAAGTCGTCGCCTGAGCAAATTCTATGTACTTGGCAGGCAGACGCTTTAATTGCTTGGCCAAGGCGATTAGAGGCTTTTATAATAACTCGTTAGGCTAACTACATATGCCTTTATTACTATGCACAGTTAACTGGAAAAGAAAGTGTTTATGGTTGTTTTCCACTTTCTTTTGTTGAAAAAGAACATCTAGAGATTGGTAATCAGATCATAAGAACATCTAGAGATTGGTAATTAGATCATCATCATTATTATTATTATGCTTGCTGCCAAGGCACTCATGCCTCTCATGGTAACTCAAATCCCCATGCCTCAACAAATGTCTGAGATTCATTCAGAAGCAATCCATAGGGAAGGTTTCCCACCGAGGGGTTCTCGATTACACTGGCGAGGAAGGGGGTACAGTTTTCTTGCCAGATTGGATGATGAAGAACATGCAACTGCACGAAGGCTATGTCATGTATATGAAAACTAGAAAGCTGGAAAAGGGAATATATCTCAAGCTTCCTGGTCATCTCAAATTCAAAATCTGTGCTGGAAGAAAATCTGCACGTGCTCTTGCCTAACAATGGATTATACAATAATGATCAGCCATGAGAGTATGAATCGTTACATCGACAGTAGAAACCAAGTGTTCTGTTGCATTTGATCCTCCTTTGGATTATAAAGGGCCAGAAAAGTGTGCAGCTAAAAATGGTTCAGGGAAAGAACAAGAGAAGGCAAATCAGAAACCCAAGTTCAAAACTTTTACAGTTTTAGCTAGACAGACGCTTGGATGAAAAACCTTGTTCCACATAATCAGATTCAGCTTCTTTGCCGAATGAGCAACCGTCAACTCCGAAAGGCGAGGCTGTTGAAGCAAAACCCATGTCAAAGAGAAATCCACAAGGATTAGCCTTCCGATCAGATAAGAGCCACTTTAAAACAAAGAAAAAATATGGGCTCGCAAGCGAGATGGAAGCCGAAACTTCTAAGAATAAAACAAAGTTCTAACCGTGCACTGGGAAGAAATACACATTGGCTGGTGATCTTGACCTTATCCATCAAAATGGTAGATTAGTACTAATACTAATTTTTTTAAAAAAATTTCAGAGTTATTTCACTCGTGTATTATTCATCTCAAACTCAAGAACCATTTGCATTTTCTTTGATTTAAGGAAAAGACAATTCGAACCATGCTTCTTTTTTTTATTTAAGGGCAAAGAAATTCAAACCCTTCTCTAAGCAAAATTGATACATGTATCTACCACCAAAACAGACAGAATAAATGAATCAAATACCAATGGATGAAAGAACCATTAGTATTTTATCCAGTGTTGTCTAATCGAATGGAAAGCGTGAGTTTCTTCTGCTGTCTTAACCAACAAGGTAGCTAAAGCAGGTCCAGAAGTGGCAAATGAGGTGCCAAGCGATAGAAAAGCCCAAATCCTTTGGCAACTTTCCACATTCATCAACAGTGGATAGCAACCTTCACTGTAGACATAACAGATACAATGACTGCTGTGGAATGCTAAAGAAGGAAAACATAAAAATGAAAAACCCAAAATTAAGAATATGGGTTAGAATTAGGTGTGCATTAGCATTGGATGAATAAACTAAAACTTTACTGGAAACATAAGAGATCTGATTGACTCCTACAACAAAATAATATCATCTCTGTCAAGTCGATAACATCTGCATTCCATAATAAAATCAGGTAGCCTGCAACATTTAAATACTAATAATTTTGGACAATATTTTTGAAAAATATTAAAAACATAAAAAAGTCTACACCTGACATGAAGGCCAAAGGAGTACGCTCCAAAGCAGTAACAGAACACAGAGTTAGTCATACTTCAAACTTAAAAATTCTAGCCCTTACTAATCTCTACTCGATGTCAAAATTACAAACCAATCACTCTCAATACGGCAACAGGAGATGTTATATTACAAACCAATCCCTTATGGTAGAAATTAATAAAAAATAATCAATCTCCCTAGTGCACATCCATAGGGCCAAACTTACCAGCAATACCAAAAACCAGGCATTGCAACAAAACAAAGGATAAAAACCACAAGTTAATGCCAAAATAAAATACCCAAGGGTATGCCAAAAGAAATGGTTTAAGTTAAATAAGAGAGATATAAAAATCAAGCACATAGCATGAATTGCTCATCAATTAACAAATAGAGAAATATGGTACAGATATACAAGTTGTAAGAACTCTAACAAAACACCAATGAATCATTGGACTATCAGATCCAAAAACGTGTACACTACTACATTGAACACCACAAACAAAGTCGTATAAAAAGTACCTTCAACTCAACTGCTAAGTTCCAAACAAGCCTTCAGAAAGCACACCATCTGATATGCAAGATACAATGTCAGATACCTGGAAAAGACATACAGAACAAGATTTAAATGAAGAGAAGCTCAAGCTGTCATACCTAAAATCAAGCAATGTCATACAAATTGGTCAGTCTATATGGTCGCCAGGTGATCGGTTGATCGTTCAATTGCGTGGTGACATGGCAGAAATCACGTTAGTGAATTAAAGACTACATTCATGTCTCAAAATGTCAGCCTTAAACCCATATGTATTGACAGCTTTTATACTGTAGGATGCTGCTGACTATAAAATTCAGTGAAATCTAACCGAAAGAGGAGGAATTTCAAATCTATATGCTGCTGAACAGGCAAATGAGCTAAGAAACTCTCAAGCGATGATGTATACTCTGTAGCTAATGCTTCTAGATCTTGTCCCATATTTTGAAGGAATTCACTAGCACGTTGTGTTAGGGCTTTCCTGCCTTCACTAATCCAAGACCCTGGCTCTGAAGATTTATCCTTTTCTTGCCTCCTTGATTTTTTTTTGTCTCGAGAGTTTAAAGAGGATTCCACAGTTCTAAAAAAAGTAAAAAGCAAGTGTGAGGGAACATCTAAACAGGACAGTTGACTTAAGATATCTAAATATGTGCAACTAATATAATATTAGTACATACCTTGCTTGCAACTCATGAATTCCTTCATATAATCGATCTGCATGGTATCTAAATTGTAGTATAAGGTCAAACAGGACAAACAGTGACTTGTAAAGGGTTTGTGATCGTTCACCTAGGAGTGATTTTTCTACAATTGAGTGGAGGTACTTTTCATGTGCTGCAAGTAGATCATCAAGATCTTTGGCTACTTCCATTTCATTGGAAAAATTGGACCATGACACTTCCAAGACTTCAAACATGATATAGTATTGCAAGTTTGTAACAAAATGATTCATCTCATCCCAAAGAACCTGGCATCGCCTCAATGTTGATAGCAATTGCAATTTCACTGCACGTTGCAGCTTTGTGAATGCATGAGAAGTAATACAATTGGGTTTCATTGTCTTCCAAGCACCAATGAGTGCATGCTCCACCCGTCTAAGCTTCCATAGAAAATTAAAAATTCTTAAATACCTCATCATGACAGATTCAGTAAACACTGTATCTAGCGGAACCCTAGCATCATATTCCAATGAGAACACATCCCAGCCACGGTCTCCAGAACCATGAGGCATCATCTTAACCCTCAACCGATCTAGTATGTCAGGATCATCATACTGAGCATTAGATGACCGAATTGCACTTTCCAGTAATCCAGCTAGCTTGAAGGAACTAATAGTATTAGCAGGCTCAGAAAGCTCTGGTCCAACAATATCCATCAGGTACTGCACAAAATCACCCTGCCCAAGCAGCAAATATCGCTTGATTGCAAGACAGTGTTCTTTAAACTTATACCTCTTGTATATAACATCCAACAAATGCTTATCAATTCTCTTAGCTGCTTCCATGACTAGAGATTCAAGTGCATCAGTCTCTCCATATCCAAGACCCCCTCTTCTGGTTGTAGTTCCAGCAGCAGCTGCAGCCTCTGTTGCAGCAGCAGCCCAACCTCGGTCATCACAACAGACACGAAGAAAATTAATAGACTTTCCAGTCCTCAGAATACGTTGAGCAAGAGACTGTGAAATGAACGAAGGCAACATTCCAGCATGCAGACGGTAACCTTCTCTCCAAAGGGATTCAGCTTTCACTGGTTGCCCCACAATAAAGAACTCAGCAAAAATATCCTCCAATTCCCCTTCCAAAACCCAACTCCTCACCATTTCGAAAAGAGGAGAACAAACCCTCCTAAGCAATTGCCTCATGAAGTCATGAACAAGAGGGTCACCATGCTGTGCATGCAAATGAATAGAGCTAGCCATTGCACCACCCCTCAAAACTTTACACTTATCAACTAAAACAGCCATTAATCTCATTTTCACCATTGGCTCAGCAAGCCAAACTGACAATCTCCTCAAGGACAAATAATTCCCGGAACTTGCATTCTCCGAAACTAATGGAATCGGATTCATCGACTGAGCCTCTAGCACAGCCAATAACTTATAATACTCTGACAACTCATCCAGCAAAGCAGCACAAAATGCCTGCCCCACAGCCCCCACATCTTCAGCAGGAAAGCGATCCATACTCTCGGAAATATATCCTTTAACTTTCCTAAACAACCACCCTAATTCACAAAGCTTCCTAACAATAATTCGAGTTGCTCTAGGTACCTTAACCGAATCCAATAAGGCATAACCACCCAAGTTACTATCAAATTTCACATACTTGCCATCAATCCCTTGACAAGCATACAGTACATCTCTAACCAAAACCTCTTCAGTCACCTCATTCTCTTCTTTAACCAAATTCCCAAACTCCCTAAACGAAATTTCACGTAAATTTTCAGGGTCTTTTGAAACCAATAAAACCCCATTTTTCCAACCCTTTTCTCTATTATCTTTACCATTCAAAACCCTTACATTATTTCCCATTTCATCATCATTTAACCCTAGATTAGGCAAGAGAAACGAAAAATCCATCCCGTTTTTGGCGGTTTTTCGATCCTCGGATATAATTTTAAGCAAATAAAGAACGGCCCATTTGTTATGAACGCTACCGGGGCCATTTTTGGAAGCGAATTTGGTGTAGAGATCAGCGAAAGTAAGGGCATCAGAGGAGTTACCAAGAGTGGCAAGACGGCGCTTGATGGATTCGGCGATGGCGTCGGCATCGGGGGAAATGGAAGGGTTCAAACAACTGGAGAGAATGCGGAGAGCGTAACGAAGAGATTGGGAGAAATGAGGAGAGTTAGGGTTTTGTTGGGGTAGTAAGCGACGAACTAGGTCGACTACTAGATCTGTGACTTTGCGTTGATCTTCTTCTTCCATTTCTAAGAGAGAAAGGGAAAGGGAGGTTTTTTTTTTTTTTAAATAGAGAAATTGAGAGTGAGAAATTTCGTAAAAGGTTTTTGAGTTTTGTTTGATTTTATATACGGGCGGCAAATTAAAAATAATAATAATAATAATAAAAGCTTTCTTCAATTTTTGTTAAAAGCATTATTTCAATGGGTTTTTGTTTGTGATAAAGACCATTTATTTTTTCTATAATGGGCCTTTCGGAGGAGCAAAAGGAGTGCCGGCCTTTCTTTGATATCCAATGGGTAGTGTTTTCAAGCTCACTTTCACAACTTTTTCAATAATCCAAATTTGGGTCGATTTGAAAGAACACTAAAATTGATTTTTATAAAATTTAAAATAATAATAAAATTTATTATAATTGTGATTGAAATAAAAAATTTTATAAAAAAATTTATACTAAATAGATTTATCATGAATTAGCATTTGAATTCAATTAAAGGTGTAATAAACTCAATTGTATCGTATAAAAAAATATGATAGAATTTAAATTCTCATTTAATATCGATGAAATTTATCTTACTAACAGTTGTCATAGGAGTAATAAAATTTTAGTTTTAACAATAAGAATTTTGGTTTTTTTATAAAAAAAATATAGCATTTTGAAAGTTAAGAAAAATGATAGGAGTCATAATTTAAATAATAAATTTATTAAATATTATTTTTAAAGATAATTAAATTAATTAATTAAGTTTAATTTTAAATTTAAAGTTTTGATAACTTTAAGTATAAAAAAAATAAAATATACCTTACCTCGATTGTAAATAAAAAATAAAATAAACTCAAATCAAACTTATTGAAAATTTGGGGTTGGAAACTTTAACTTAACATATTCGAGTTGGATTTTAATACAAGAGACAAAAGCTTCATGGGATATAAAGGTAAAATATTATCTCATTTTATGAAATCCAAGATTCAACGAGTTTTTATATGTATCAAAACAAAAATATTGATATCATATCTTCAATATCTTAATCTAGTGATAAAAACGTCTTAAGAAAACATAAAATTAAAGTTCGACCTTAATCTCCCTTTTATTCTCTTGTTATAGAGCTTTATCTCTCTTGAAACCCAAAAAAAAAAAAAAAAACAACATTTATTCCAAATTGAAACATATAAATCGAATGCTCCAATATGGTATCCTACTTGTGTTTTTATAATTTTTTTTTATATTAAAAAGTGTAATTTGAAAATAAAAAAATATTAAAAAATATCAAAATACACATTGAAAGTATTTTGAAAATTGGAAGTGAGACATTGATTGCCGCTTGGCTGCCATACCTGAAAAGTCGTTGTATTCGAGACAAAATCTATGACACCAATAATCAAGGGGTGACTTAATTAATAAAAAAAAAATTTTAACATAAAGATTTTGAATATAAATTTAATTGATGATTATTTATTGAAATCATTTATAATGTATAACTTTAGATCATTTATTTTACATTGTCACATATATTTTGTTTAACTTGAAATATATAATAAATTATCTATCTCAAAATTTTCTTAAAATAAAAAAAAATTTATGACACGAATAGCAGATAAAAAATAGGATAGAATAACAAAAAAAAAAATTTGAAGAAGTGGCAAATATTACTTCAATCAAATTAAGAATTACATCAACAATAACATATCAAAATATTTAATAAAATTTTGTCTAATTATATGTTAATTTGCTAATTGGTTTGTTTGTATAATTTAATTTGATAATTTATTATACAAATATAATATTTAATTATCATTATAACTTCTAACTAATACTATTTAAATGCTAGTTTATTGTAATATTTTTTTGACCACCATTTTTTAATTTATTATCTAGTGTTTTTTGTTATTTATTGTTTAGTTATTTAAAACGTTGTCGAAGAGATAAATAATAAATTGGTGAAAAATTGGGTGGTCCTGAATAGAAAATTAGTGTTTCAGATTTGTGGTAAAATAAAGGAGTCAATTTTCACCTTACATTATTGGCGTGAGAGGTAGGGTTGAGAAAAAATTAAAAATATCAAAAAGATTTATTCGAGTTCGAATATTTAGATTAGAATAATTTAAATTTTAAATATTTTAATTTGAATTTAAATAAATGACATAATTAAATTATCAAAAATTCATATCGATTTAAATTTTTTATTTAAATTTTAAAAATTTTGGATTAATCTGAATAAAATTTAAAAATAGATAATGACCAAAAAATTCAATTCAATTTGAAAGCAGATACGGGTCGCTTCCAAGTCTCAACAGCCAACGATCTCCTCCTAGATGCTCCATTCCCAGGCTCCCATACAGCCACATGTCATATTATCACCTTCAATCTTTTTTGGTCTCACTTTCTCTCAACCTCATCTCTTGCCTCACACAAAGTTACGATATCTTTTACTTTTATAAGCTTGTTTTAAGAAACATCACGGATCTTCAAGATAAGTCCAATTTGTCCAAGTTTAGTTTAGATGTTTTAAAAAAAATTGTAATTTTTAATAGTAATATATTAAAAGAAAGTGAAAAATTAAATTTTTGTGTGATGTTTTTTCATATCAATTTGTGAAAATTTGGTAGAGATTCCAGTGTTTCTTAGATGTTTTGATTTTTAGTTCTTTTTTTTTCATGATTTTATTTTTTTTTAATTTTATACCGTCTAGATACCTGGATGGATTTGACAGCATTAAGCAATCTTAATAACACTTTAAGTCAAAGTAAGTCATCTGTTACTCAAAACATCTCATTGGGGCTTGAAGCTCATCTTACTGGAGAAACAACAGCATAAAATGTTCTAAAAGATGTCACTACCCTTGTTCAACAAATGCTAAAAAACCACATAATGGTAAATTGGGATGCTTAATGTTCAAGGTATAGGAACATTTTATTAAGTTGTCTGGTAATGATAAAGCTAATCAAAAAGCCTTTTGCAACTATTGTGGTAAAATCATTAAGTGTCCTAGCGCAAATGAAACTACTGTCTTACGTAACCACACAAATAGGTGCCTCAAAAAACCCTCTGGATAAACTTGATGAGAATTAAAAGACCCTTATGATTAAAAATCTTCCTGGGGATGACTAGGGGAATATTAGTGGTTCATCATTTATTACATGAAAATTTGATCAAGAAACATGTAGAAAATATTGTGCTAGGATGATTATTTTAGATGAGTTGCCTTTTAGAATTGTTGAGCATGATGGATTTCGTAAGTTTTACAATGTTATGCAACCTCGATTTCAAGTTCCTTCAAGGTTCATTATGGCAAAGGATTGCTATAACCTTTTATTAAATGAGAAAGATAAGCTTTTGATGTATTTAAAAAAATCAAAACTAAGAGTTTGTCTTACTACTGACATTTGGACTTCTAGGTAAAATCTTAGTTACATGTGTTTTACAATTCATTTCATTGATCAAGAGTGAAAATTACATAAACGAATCTTGAGTTTCACTCCAATTCCTAATCATTTCGGTGATGTTATTGGAAAATGCATTGATAAGCATTTGCTTGAATGGGGAATAGATAAAGTTCTCACTATCACAATAGATAATGCAAGTGTTAATGGTATTGGCATCCAATATGTAAAAAGAAGACTTAATAATTCGAAAGGAAGCATTTTAAAAAGTGAGTATTTGTATATGAGGTTTTGTGACAAATTTTTAGTCTTACTGTGAAAGAAGGTTTGAAGGATTTGGATAACTCAATCTTTCAAATCCGTTTTACTGTGAAGCATGTGAGGTCATCCCCTGAAATGTTGCAAAGATTCAAAATTTGTGTGGAGCAAGAGAAAGTAACAAGTAAAAGTCTTGTTTGTTTAGATGTTAAGACTAGGTGGAGTTCAATTTTTTTGATGTTTGAAGCTGTTTTGAAGTTTTAGAAAGCTTTGGATAGGCTAAAGGAACAATATGACAAATATAGAGTTAAGCTTAGGGTGAAAAAAAATAGGTGCTTACCTACTAAAGACGATTGGAATTATGTTTGTGGATTATTGTTTTTTTTTTAAAAGCTTTTATGATTCCACTTTGCGTGTCTTTGGTTCATTGTATGTCACTAGCAATAATTACTTTCATGTGATGTTTGGTGTTAGAATGCAAATTAATGACAAATTGCATGATCCAAATCCAAATATTCAGTTGATGGCTTTGCGAATGAAACAAAAGTTTGAGAAATATTGGGAAAATGTAAAGAACCTCAATCCTTTGTTATTCATTATTGTCATTTTAGATCCTAGATGCAAGATGGATTATGCAATGTTTGTCATGGATGAGGTTTATGACGAAAACAAGGCTGCGGAGTTGGGTAATTGGGTGAAGGTCACTTTAAATACATTTTTTGAGCATTATACTTCAATTATTGGTAGCTATAATAGAGGAGCAAGTTTTGGTTCCCAAGCACCAATGCAGTTAGAAGAGAATATTGATGTTGATGATGTAGAGGCATATGCCTTGTCAAAATACAAAAGGCGAAGGACAGAGTCACAATGCAAATAAGGGAAGTCAGAATTGGAAAGGTATCTAGAAGATATATATGAGCAAGATGAGAAGAATTTCGACATTTACTTTGGTGGAAAGTAAATGGTTGCAAATATCCAATACTTGTAGCAATGGCGTGAGATGTATTAGCCATTCCTATGCCTACTATAGCCTCTGAATATGCTTTTAGCATTGGAGGGCGTGTTCTTGATCCTTTTCATAGTTCATTAACTCCAAAAATAGTCGAGGCCGTTATATGCACACATAATTGGCTAAAATCTACACCTGTGCTGGTTGAAAATGAGGAAAAATTAAATGTTTGGGAAGAAAATGAACTTGGTAAGTATTTAACTATTTATAATTTAATTAGATATATTTATGTTGTTTGCTTATCATCTATCATTTCTTTAGTGATTTAATGAATTTTATATATACTTTTTCATAGATTTTAAGGACTTCATCCTTAATAAATAAAGATGGTCACTTTTGATTTTATTTTTAGTTCATTTCATTATAAGTTAATTTTTTTTCTATTTTATTATGGATATTTTTGTTATTTTATTTTCAAGAGATTGAAGATGGAAGGGATTTAACAACT